CATGCTTTGTCGGGTAATGAACTGTAGAGAGACTCACTTCAAGTTAAGCACTGTGAGGCTGGTCAGTAAAGACATCTGCAAATACTTCCTCACAGCCCAGGAATGTAAAGGTGTCTGTAAAAACTCCCTTACAGCCCTGGGCTTTAAAGGCCCTTCCAGCCCTGGGCTTAAAGGCCCTTACAGCCCTGGGCTGTAAAGGCGTCTAGAAAGAATCCGGAAAAGACGTCTAAAGGACAACCTTACATCCCAGGACTGTAATGGCTTCTAGAAAGACCCCCTTACGTCTAGAAAGATTCCCTTACAGCCCTGGGCTGTAAAGGCGTCTAGAAAGACCCCCTTACAGCCTACGACTGTAAAGGCGTCTAGGAAGGCCCCCTTACAGCCCAGGGCTGTAAAGGCGTCTAGAAAGACCCCTTACAGCCCAGGGCTTTAAGACGTCTAGAAAGACTCCCTTACAGCTCTGGGCTGTAAGGCGTCTAGAAAGACTCCCTTACAGCCTGGGCTGTAAGGCGTCTATAAAGACTCCCTTATAGCCCTGGGCTGTAAAGGTGTCAGTAAAGACTTCCTTACAGCCCTAGGCTGTAAAGGCGTCTAGAAAGACTCTCTTACAGCCCAGGGCTGTAAAGGCGTCTTGAAAGACTCCCTTATAGCCCTGGGCTGTAAAGGCGTCTCGAAAGACTCCCTTACAGCTCTGGGCTGTTAAGGCGTCTAGAAAGACTCCCTACAGCCCTGGGCTGTAAAGGTGTCAGTAAAGACTTCCTTACAGCCCTAGGCTGTAAAGGCGTCTAGAAAGACTCCCTTACAGCCCAGAGAAAGACTCCCTTATAGCCCTGGGCTGTAAAGGCGTCTCGAAAGACTCCGTTAGAGCCCAGGGCTGTAAAGGCGTATAGAAAGATTCCCTTATTGTCCTGGCTGTAAATGTGACTTTAAAAACTCCATTTTCATTGTCTTTGTTTAAATTTAATATTTGTTTAATGTTCTTAGTTTTGCTTCATGTTCTGTTCCCTTGTGAGTACTATCTGTGTATATTTAAACTCCCATTAAAATTAAGTAAATACCCAATTTTATTTGCATAATTTAAAAATTACCTTTGGGCCAAAATTCTGTATAAAATTTCTATTGCTGAAATTAAATATTTCCCAGGGAAATTCTCTGCCGCATCATTTAACTGGAATACTTTTTTGATTTCGTGGTTTTTGCCCCTAAATGAAAAGAACGAGAATCTCTGCACAATGTTGTGGTTTGTCTGCATATATGTGTGTGTGTGAGTGTGTGTGTGGCCATTTATCTATGATATATATAAGCACATGGACTATGAGCGATCCTTGATGCCGGCTAAAAGTGAAAATTTGTAACAATTCACATCATTGTCGTTGTTGTTGGTGTTTTGTTTTTCATCGAATAGTTTTTCTTTGTTGGCTGGCTGTTGATTGGCAGTTTTATGGCTGGTTATGCCGCTAGATATGTTGCTAAAAACGACAACGACAGGAAAATAGAAGCAAAAAATCGCAAAGTTTTTTTCGCCACTCGTTATACATTTAAATTGTTTTCAATTAAAGTTTTTCCAAAGCCAATTTACTGTTCATTTATTTCAAACTCACAAAGCGAGGGGAGAGTAGTGTAGAGAGAGAGAGAGAGGAAAAAAAAGTAATTTAAACTATCCAAGTGTCTTTGTTTCGGAAAATAAATCTGTAACTCTGAAGCTATTAATTAAATAATCTCAATTGCGTTTGTGAAGTATTGAATTAAATGCATTTTAAAAATCCATTGCTTAAATCAATTCGAATAAATCTATTCCAGAAACTACTGACAATGTTTTTGTTTCGAAAGGAACATTTATTTACATTTTCCTTAGTGTTTTATGAAGTTTGGGATTTTTGATTTTTTGGTTTATAGACTTTGTTTTATTGAGCTATAAGTTTATTTTGTCGAAATATTCAAATTGAAATTTTACCTTTTCTTGTTGACAATATGCCTATGCAAAGTCAATAAATTTCCCAATAAAATTTCTATTGAAATTGTCCTTTTCGCACATCCTAAACCCAGCATGTGCTGGCTGGTCCTTTATGGTTATGTTTTTATTTCTTTGTTGTTTTGTTTTTTATTTTCATAATAAAATCTATTGGAATTTCAGGAATTCCAGCACATCCTAAACGTCCTGCAGCTCTCTACGTGCCTGGAATATTAAGAAAACAAAACGGAGAAAATCTCTCCGAAAAAAACCAAAATCACTGTCACATGAAATAGAAGTTGATTGACCTCAATCAAAGACATAAACAAAACAATCAAAGTTTATGTGAAAAATATGGAATATAACAAAAATATAAATAACTTTTTGTTTTTAGAGAGCCGAACTTGAATTTCCTGGAAAGGAAGTGGAAATTTTCGGGGGAATTTGGGGAAGCCAAAAAAATGTAAAAAGATCGAAAGAAAAAAAAATAATTTTAAAAAGTTTACGTCATATCCGGGTGTGATGGAAGTTTCGGGGGTTTATTTAAACAGAAAAAAATGCAAGGTTGGGGGAGAAAAATGCGTTGCCAGACGGAATTTTAAGGATATTACCAGTCCTGATTTTCGAATTTGGGGACCAATATAAAAAATATCTCCATAATAAGGCTAAAAATGTTTTACCTGTAGCTTAGTCCATATCTCAATCCAATTCTCCCTGTCTTTATATTAAAGATAAATTAAAAATGAGGATTGGTGGCTCTTTCCGAAACCTAGGTATTCCCTGCTTAGCCCCCTATAAACATTACCATCGTTCTCCAGTAATAAACAAACGTTGTTTTTATAAAAAGTACAATAATGGGATTAAGCCTGGCCATTTGCAACAAAAATAAATAAAAAATATATTTTTTCTTATGTATTCCAAGTTCTCTTGAATTTCCCCCGAAATGCATATCCAATTTCTATTTGTTTTTATTTGAATACTTTATTTTTTCCTCCTTTTCTCAAAAAAGAGTGCCATCCCCATCAAAAGCTCTCTCCTTTTTTGTTTATCTTACAAAATTCCTTTTGATAAGCTCCCTTCCCATAGGCTCCTCGCATTTGTTTTCCAGATAATAAACACCATCCCGGCCACTGCTACGTAAATCACCCATTTTCTCATTTAGCCAACGGCAACTCTTCAAATCCAACTATTAAAACTGGGACATTTCAAAACCAACATTTCTTGGTTTTCCAACGGCAACCAGATTCTGTTATAAGCAGATAAGCACGAACATGCGAGCATGCCGGGTCTTGCTCATCATCACAGCCAGGCTGATGAACACCACCATTGGGATAATAATCGACATGGCCGCAAGGTGTTGGAAAACCCAAATAGCCCGCATTAGTGTGTACAACTTCAACAAAGTCGGCATCATCGGCGGTCAGACGTTCGTCATAAGGTGTGGAGGCGTTGAAGAAAACCCCGGCCGGATCTAGGCCGGTGATGTGGGCCAATCTGTGATGCAAGCGTTCAAGGATATTTTGCCCCAACAGCCCACTTATTTGGCCACCCAAACTAAAGCCAACAGCATGCAAATGTTGTAGATCAAAATTGAAGTTGTCATGCAGTAGGACAACTAAGTCGGCTATAGCTTTGGCAATTGCGGGAACTTTGGCTGCTCCGGCTGCAAGGTCGGCGGAGTTGTCAATCACTTCGCTGTAATCCACAACAATAACATTGCCATCTTCCATTTGCAGTTTGGCATTCTTGACCAAAATGTTCATCAAGGAGTCTTTGTTGTCGGCAATTCCATGAATGGACAGGCTGAGAGACAGAGGGAGAGAGAGAGAGAGAGAGAGAGAATCATTTTGGTATTAGAAGGGTTGGAAGGAAAAGACTAAAGGCGAGAATACATAAGAGGATTTTTTTCTGACATGAGTCATCGGATTGTTTTGGTAGGAGAAGAAAGGAGTGTAGCTTAACTTAGTTCTATTTCGTCCCATAATTGGTCTGTTCCAGAACTGCAAGAATGTAAAAGTTTATATCTCGATAACCTATTTTCCCTTTATGATTTCGAAAAAATTGCCAAACCTGCACGATCTGGAACAGAACAAATTTAACTTTGTTAACCTTAAACTGATCCGGATCAAAGCTTAAGTCAGTATTAAAGCGTTGATCTGTTAAGTCTTTAAGTCCGTTTCTATATGGCTTTTTCGTCAATTACTAATATCAGAAAAAATCCTCTTATATATTCTCTCCATAAGATTGTCCTAAGTAACGGTATTTATATGGAATCCTGCAGCATGTTCTGAATGGTATACATTTTAGGGAATTTTACTCACGTAATTGGTTTAGTAGGATTGAGAACATTTCTAATCACCGATTCCACATTTGCCTGCAATGGCTGAGGACTATCAGGATTTTGCCGGGTGTAAACATAGAATTTCACCGAATCCGCAACCTTCGAATCACCAACAGCAGCCGCATGAATTACACTTGCAAATGCTGCAAATAATAAGAAGACAAAAATTCTTTCCGATATCTTCATTGCTTCAGCTCCCAACGAAAACTGTTTAGAGGAAATTTTTCAGAAACGTAAAATGTGTTGGGCTCTCGGTTTCGCCTCTTCTGCTGCTTGGCAATGACCAATAGACTAGATAAGATTATTGACAAATAATTTAATAAATTGCATTTATTTTTATTTTTTATTTTTTTGCTTCAGAATAGATTTATTTATGGCGGGATATAAGGCATATCTTATGTGGTGACATTTCATAAAGCACAAGTTTTTACATGTTGGGCAGATAAAACCTGGAGGGTGGGGTGTGGAAATTCTAGGTAAAACGTAGAATGGCGATAAATAAAATGGGTAATAATATATTAGCTGGATGGGTATTTAACAAATCATTTAATACGCCATTAATAGGTCCATATCTACCACGCTTTTCTGGCTATATTTGGCATTTGGGACACCATATGACAGGATTTCGAAATATAATATCACCTTATACTGAACTATAGAAACTATGACAGAGAAATTTCTTGGAAAAATGTTTATTAAAGTTGTTCTGAAATGTTCATTATCGTTTTTCCCGCTAAATATTATTTAATATACGAAATATTGAAAATATACGTTATGACATCCTTGGCGGATATAAAGCAAAAAGCCTGGCAGCCAAAAAAAAAAAAAAAACTATTCTTTGGCTGTTGTAATCAATGCCAACAGGAAATTAATATCACAAGAATAAACGAAGGAAAAAGGAAAAAAAATGACGATAACAAAACAAGAATTCTCATAATCCGTGTGAAAGAAGACAAAATTGCTCATAACTCGTTAAATGGACACAAAATTTCCCAAAACTCAAGGACAGCTGTCCTTGATATGCCCAAGGCAAATGCTAACATACACAGTTGCTTCTTATCGATAACATAATGTAGCCATAAATTGATTTTTTGTTTGATTTCAAGATTAATTTTTAGTTTCTCAGAAAACAATTTACGACACATGTTCGATGTTGTTGCTGCTGTTTTTTTTTTTTTGAGAGTCAAAAATGCATTTTTGTTTGAAATTGCAGGCATTCCAAGTTGAACGTTTATTAAACACACAAATCGATAATTAATTTTGACAAATTAATACCCAACTACCCTACCCCACGCTGTTTTGATAGTAATTTAAATTGATACAAGATTGGTTAATTAAAAAAAAAGCACACAAGTACAGTGAAACCTCAATAGATGGACATATCACAAAGAGTCTGAATAAGAATTATTTATGGAAATGGAAAAAATCATTTAAAAAAGGTTGTATTTATAAAACTTTAAAGGTGAGAATACATAAAACGTTTTTTTGGCAGGCTTAAGTTCTCGCCTGGCTTCTGCGAAAAATAACAAAGGAGCGTAGGGCCAAAATCGAACTAAGTCAACCTAAAACTCCTTTGTTCCTATACGAAGAAGCCACCCGATGACATGAGCCAGTCAAAAAGCATTTTATGTATTCTCGCCTTAAAAGCATAGACAAGTCATGATATAGACTAAAAAGTTGTCCAACCTGTTATCTTCGAAAAAAGTGCTTCAATAGATGTCGTTCTTGCTGTGAGAGAGCTTAAAGGTGGCAATACATAAAACGTTTATTTGACTTGCTTAAGTCTCCGGCTGGTTTCTTCGTAGAGGAACAAAGGAGTTTTAGTTTGACTTAGTTCGATCATGGCCCTACGCTCCTTAGTTCTTTTCCAGGAGAAGTCAACTATGTCGCAAAATATAAAAATATACAGATTAAATAGCAGAAAAATGAATAAATTGTTTTCGAAGCCGAGTGACTTTACTAGCCCTGAGTGATTTACTCTCCCATTGATCAACCATGGCGTTTTTTGGTCTACACCTTTATTCTGTGATAAGGGAATCTAAAAGTAAAATCGAGCGGGAAAAAATGATTTTAAGAGAGAGAGAGAGGAGAGAGAGAGGAGAGAGAGCAGAAGCAAGGGACCAGTGGATTTTGCAACAAAAGCAACAACACTCTTTTTCGAGCGGCGTAGAAAGTAAGGTATACCCGATTTCTTTTTATTTACTCCCGCCAGATTTCGAGTTAAGAGTGAAACTCAACTCGCTTTTTGGAGATTTGATAAAAAATATTTTAAATTTTATTTTATAAATTCTCAAATTTATTCTAAATAGTTGATCACTTTATATGATTTCACTGTAGTTTTTTTTTTGTTAAATCATGACTTGGCAACAACTGGTTTTAAGCTTAGTAGCAAAACTTATGTTTTTTCCAGGTCAATTTCAAAGAAAACAAAAAAAAAAACATTTGGAATAAAAATTAGCTAACTAAACGATATCAACGTGTTGTGTGTTTGATCATTCTGAAAATTTTTCTATTGTTTATTTTTCAAGTAATATTTTAACCTTTAATGCTGCAATGAATGCAATTCACCGGTCAAGACAGTTTAATGGTAAGAGCCAACCCTGTTGTGAAGTTGGCAACAAGCTTTTTTATTCAATTGGGGGTATTGAAATGACTCCGGAATTGCAGCTACTTAAAAATGTGCAATTGTTTTGTTTTCCACACACACATACACACACAACTATTGTTAGCGGCGGACAATTGAAAAATAAATTCTATGGTAATTTCAATGAGGATGAGCTACACTGGGTTCTGGAGATGAGCTACACTTAGTTCTGGGAAGGCAAAATGACGAATGACGATAACTTGACATGTACAAGTTAGAAAACAGTACAGGGTGAGATGAAAAAACTGCAACCAAATTCCGACTGTTGTCATTTCTAAGCCATTCGTACGACAGCTGTTAAAATTATTCCAGTGACAGCTCATTATATTGCTTACAAGCGTACAAAAACATTTTGTTGAGAATTTTCCAGAAAAAAAGTTATTCGTGATGGAAGCGTGATAGTGTGACTTCTTTATATTTTGCTGGAAAATCACAAGTGGCTATCGTTAGAGCACTCCAGCGTTTAAGTGTGAATAAATCGTTCCATCGCTCGTCACCGTGATATTGGTAGCGTAGCCGTTACGTCAAGGAAGTAGACGGAAGAAAACAGCAACATCAGCAGAAATGGTTTGAAAAGTAAAGAAGCGACTTGATCGGAACCCGCGTCGCTGTGGCTGCTGTGAAAAATGGCTCGTGAGCTGAACATATCGCAATATTTCAAGGCCGCATACCTTGGACATTCCAACAGGACTCAGCACTATCGCACTCAGCATGCGCCACCCAAGAATGGTTACAAAATGGGGTTCCTTGTTTTGCTTCCAGCGCACAAGGGCCACCAAAATCTCAGGATACCAATCCGTTGGACTATTGGGTCTTTAGCATTTTGGAAAGCAAGGTCGGCACTAAAAAATACCAAAGTGTCAATCACCTCAAGCAAGTGTTTAGCCGAGAATGGGCCAAAATACCGCAGAGCAACATTCGGGCAGCGTGTGACGGTTTCATTGGCCGTTTGAAGGTCATAATTCGTGCCAAAGGTGACCAACTCGAACTAACCTAAACTTTTTCTAAGATTTGATGATATTTCCGACAATTTTTTGCTTTCATTCAATAAAATTTGAAAAAAATAAAAACAAAAAAAGCAGTAAGTTCGGCTGGGCCGAACTTTGAATATCCTGCACTATTTGAAACAAATTTGAAAATTTTCAAAAAAAAAAATCGTTCAAACTTCTATTAAAAATCTTAAAAATACCGAATATAGAATTGCATATACGAAATTTGAAACAATTTCGGTGAATAATGTAGCAAAGATTTCAAAATACCGAATATAGGAAGGTACAGTTATATGGGGGGTATACCCATTTTCAATAACAAAAGACAAGCAGAACAAACACACGTCTGATTAAAATTTTATCAGCCTACTTCCTTTCGTTCGGAAGCTAGAGTTATTTCCATTGACGAAAAGCCAGACAGACGGACGGTCTCCTTCAATCAACACAGAGTTTAATGCTGATCAAGAATTTACACCTTGTGGGGTCTAAAATGTATATTTCGAGTTATTACAAACGGAATGACAAACTTAATATAAAAATATAGTCATGCCACTATATTTTTATATTAAGTTTGTCATGAAAATCATAAACCGTAGTTTTAAATCCTTTATATGTCCTCAAAAAACTTAAATTCTGTAGATTTTTCTAAAATTTTTCTAAAGATAATTCGGCAAGATAAATTACAAAAATGCAGAGTTCTAAAATCTTTTTTGAACTAAAGTTACCTTCTAATTCTGCCATGCCTCATTCTTTCAACTTTACCTGAGAAATGTCACATATATTTTTATAAATTTATAAAAGTAGGGTATTACAAATTACAGGCATTTAATATTCCTTAACATTATGTGATGTAAGGCTAGAGAAAGGACAACAAAATGGCAACATATGCAGGTTTCTCACACACACACTAATACATAATTTATGCTTCTAGTTCAAAGGAAGCAGCATGCTTCCAGCTAATATTTTTCATTAAATTTACAGTAGATGGAAGAAGTTTTGAACCGGGTTCCTTAAATAAAGAATAATCAGGATTTTAATTACATTTCAGAAACGTAGTGTTTAAATTTTGAATGTCTTCATTAAACATTATATTCTAAGCTTGCTTTAAATATTCATTGTTTTTTTCTCCCGCTCTGTTATTGCATTTGCTTTGGCTCTGTTACATTGACATTCTCTCACTCAAGCCCCTTGATAAAGCAACGCGTGTTGGGAAAACAACAGCAACAACAGAAAAAGAAACACAAACAACGGAATTCCATTTGAATGGTATTTTGTTATTGTTTTTCTTTTCTATTCGGTGGCTCTCTTTTAAATGGATGTAAATCTGCAGATAATAGCTGTGTGCGTCGGTGTGTGTGCGTGTGAGAGTATCACAGAGGACATCTCGTGGAACGTGGTCGTTTTTTAAAGCATTTTTTCGCTCTGGCATGCAATTTCCAGCAATTGCTGGCAATCGATTTTGGCATCGCAAAAAAAAAGCGAACGCACGCACACAAATGAAAAGCTAAAACCCCAAAACGCTTAATAAATTCCCCTTTGCCTGACAAAAAAGTAAGCTTAACCAGAAGCGAGCAAGTTATGCAGTCA